TTCATGCCTGATCCTGCTTCCCATCTATCTGTTGCGGATTACTGTCCATGTACTGCAGCTTGGGCCAAGATTAGTGGTACAAATATTTGAGAAATTTTCTTTAATTAGCAATGTTTCATGCTTTTGTTTCTATATATATTGCCTGCAACCACATTGCAGTGGACCCATCTTAGTTTACCAAATGATTGCATCCGAATATATGTTTCATGTCCTAAAATAAAAGAGCAGAGGTTACTGATGCTAATTAATTCTGAACTTCCTCTCAGCTCTTTATCTTTATTATCCAAGAGATTGTTGTGTCTGCAAAGTAGGTTTTTTGAAATTGGACATGCTATAGATTTAGTTTTTACTTCTAATTTTCTGTTTAAGATTTATTTGCTCTGCCTCCTATTATATGAAAAGGTGCATTCACCTGCACCTACTACTACCTGATATAAGCATATACTGCTGCTAACTTCTCGAAGACCAGCTATTGTATTTTGCTACTACCTCTTTTAGGTTGTCCATATAAAATTATTCCCCTTGATTATCCCTTGATTCCTTTAAATAAAAGGTTGCTTCACATAAATGATTTGGAATTTTACCTGTAGCCAGCAGCTTTGAATGTTGGGTATCCTTTTCCATTTATGTCATGTGCTCCTTTATTTCAGAATGTATAGATTTCACTCTCTTTCCATGCTAATAATTAGTTTTGGAGTGCCGTGTTTGTCAGGTTATGCTACCAACAGATGTCTATTCATTTACATAATATTATGCTACATACAGTTTCAGTTCTAACTCCCATTTAGTTTTGTAATTAGTAGGTTCTTTTTCTTCTTCAGCCAACACAAGGACCCAACAGATCTCACCTAGGCCTCCAGGGAATTGGTCAACCAGTACGACCAGGCTACTCAGTAGCTTCTTTTCTACTCCTGTATTTGCCTCATGTTATCTAAACAGCTGCATTTGCCTGCTGTTATGTAGTTTGTTGCTACTTGGTTTGGTGCCCAGTTTCATAATCTTTGCTTTCGAGATACTATAGGTATATGTTTTATAATCTTTGCTTTGGACATACTATAGGTATATGTTTCCTGCTGTTATGTAGTTTGTTAATCGTCATATCTATGCGTCTCCTGCCATCCACGCGGCGCCCTCATCACCACGACACCACTCAATCGTGCCGAAGCCGTTCGTCTGCTTATTTGTTCTCTTCTGAAAAAGAAGCGGAAGATTGATAGAGTGGAAGAGTATTGCTCTTTCCAATTCGCTACCATCCGCCTTCATCGTGGTCATTCCGGTATGCAGATACATATTTGTTCTTATACCTTAATAATTGTAGGTATCTTCAGCAATCGTGGCAGTATGTAACTTCGTCGTGGGTTGTTGCTATGTATGTAGTTTCATTCTCTCTGAATGGAGGCAAACGTGAGTAAAATGTGCAACATGCTGGCAGATGATGGCACTGGGCGTGTCGTGTTAATGTGGCCACATACCTGAAAACCCAGGCTGGCCATCCAGGACAGGTCCTCACTTTACTTGTAACTCTTTATATGTAGCCTGTTTTGAAAACTCATCAATAATGCTTTAAAACTCAGCTTCATCTAAGGTTTTGACATCTTTTTTAGTTGTAGGCAACAATCACCGAGAAAGATTCAAATGAGTTAATGTATGAGACATCAGGTTATGTGTGGCCTTATGTTCTTCGATGAGCATCTCAGTGAGAAGACCATCCCTGCATTTCAGTAATGTAATTTGTTATTAGTAAATATCATTAGAAAATACTTGCATATTTTTTAAGTCCTGATATATGCAACTTCGTTTGTAGAAACAATCAGATGACATGTTATGTCTTGTTCCTGTATTTGGTACAGCAACACTTTAATCATTAAGCAGTGTTCTCCATCAAGTTGTTTCCCTTGATTAAATATTGTGCACACATCGTCTACAGTGCAAGGTTAGATATATATCCCAGAAATCGATTGGATGCTGATGATACTTGGCTGGCAAGATTGTGTTTGTTCTTCTTACAATTGTTTCTGTTGCATACAATATACTAAATGAAAAATGGAATATCTTTGTGATGTGTTTTTCTTGTGTTTGTCAAGTGTTTGCAAACCTGACTTAGCTAAGCCCTTGTTTAGTTCCACCCCAACTTCCAAAAAGTTGCTACAGTACCTGTCACATCGAATGTTTGCGGCCCGTGCATGAAGCATTAAATGTAGACGAAAAGAAAAACTAATTGCACAATTTGGTGGGAAATTGCGAGACGAACGTTTTGAGCCTAATTAGTCCATGTTTGAACACTATTTGCCAAATAAAAACGAACGTGCTACAGTAGCCCCAAAATCCAAATTACTACAACTAAACACAGCCTAACAATGTGACTTTGTTTTTTTATATTTTTTTTGACAAATTTTATTTATCTTGTTTTGTATTTTACCGTAGCATTAGCACGAGCATACACTCCATGTGGAATGGTGCACGGGTGTGGCTCGGCACCTTCGACAGGCGGTGGGGTGCGGCGCTTGGACAAGGAGATCTTCGTGTTGGTGGAGCCCGCGACGCCTGTGCGGCTGCACGGAGGGGACGCCGTGCCTGGGGACTCACCAGGACAACGGTGCACTGGCCAAATGTTGCCGTTGCGTTAGCACGGGCACTATACTAGTTTGCTTTTAATGAAGAAGATCTGTCCCACCCAACAAAATGGTTTTCTTTTAGGGCAGCCGCAACGGTATAAGTCAGTTACTAACTCTAAGCTAACCTCTACAGTAGTGCTAGCTTTTAGCAATGACTCAAAGTATGATTAGATCTACATGACACTCTCACGTGATCTTAAAATATGTGTATGAGCCTAGCTCTTGATCAAAAGCTAGCTTTTCTTTTTCTTCTATTAAAATATGAAAAAATACTAAGAGATAACTTATGAGACAGCTACTCGGGTGCCCTTAAAAGGGTCCGAGAGACATTTTCACACTTACATGATATTATATTTTTATTACAGGGGAAAAAGTGCACATGACACGAAAATAAATCTTAGCAGTACATCAGTGAATTTGAAGATAAAAAATATTTTTCTCTTGAAAGCTCGAAAAAAACCCAGTGTTTTTCTCTCACAACAAATTATTTTCAGCTGGCTTATCAATCGCAGAAACCATCAGCCGAACAGCTATGAAACACAAAACTCTATTGTTCCAAGGTTAGACTACCAGAGCTTCATAAGTACTCCCTCCGTCCCTAAATAATTGTCGTTTTTTATTTTCATGCCATAAGTTTGATTAGATTTATAGAAAATACATGCAATATTTGTATCTTCAAATAAATTTATTATGAATATAGATTCAACGATCTATCTAATAATATTAATTATGTACCATAAATATTAATATTTTTTATAAAAAATAGTCAAAAGCAGTGTTTCATCTGTTCGGAAATATAAAATATAAAATGCATTGTGTACAATAATTATGAGATGGGACAACTAGATCGTACAGCATCGTTATTATACACATGAGCAAGAAAACTTTTTAAAACTATGCATGGTCAGACCAAATCTGACACTATAGCATGTCTACGCGCCTGTGGCACTATTTCACCATCCACATCATTTGTTTCATTTTCCTCCTTTGAGTTTGGACAAACAAATCACTCGGCAACAAGAACTCCCAACAAAGATGGATTAAATTGCTTCAATTGCACTTGCGTAACCATACGCACGAACATCTAGGACATACAATAATCTGTTCTATCTCGAAATGATCGAATAACTATCAACCTGTTCGTTTGGTTAAAATTTGGATCGTTGCTGGTTCATGAAAAAGTATTGCTGACTGGTTTGGTGTGAGAGAAAAATACTGTTCCGGCTGGAAATTTACGATCGTTTACTAGGGAATAATCCCAGCCGAACGGGCTGTATGTTCACGATCATAGAAGTCGAATGCTCTTCCTAATCAAGCATTCCAGCATTCTTCGAAAGATTATTTATAGGCAAGAATAAAAACCATCTGTATCATGTTATTTGAATTTTGAGTTTACTCCCATAAACTTTTTTGTTGAAGATGCTTGATTAACCTCTACACGGTTCTGTGGCAGAAACCGACACTGCACGGATTCTTAACCAACTCAACCCGTTTTCATCAAACTGGAACCACCAATTAGGTCTATATCAGGGTTTTTAGACGCTTACCACAATATTAGATATTCCACCAAAAGAATCACCGATAAGAGCTTAAAAATTATTACCCTGATTTTTGCTATTTCCATAAAATGTTCACGACAGCATGATTATTAAAGGCGTGTTTAGATCTAGTAGCACTAAAAATTAGCTAGCAGGAGGCTGTTCGTATCCACTTGCTATATGGTTGGATAGTGAGTTGAATGTGTTTATTTTAGCACCGATTAGCAACTCTAAACTTACTAATGAAACTAATAGTTAGCAGTGCTTCAGCTAATAATTAACAGGTTTATTAGCAAATCCGTTTGTATCCACAGCTAATTTTTAGTACTAATAGATCCAAACGGGCCCTGAACTCAATCCTGACTTTAACAAACTTGGCCTCAAATGGCTCTACATATAAAAAAACAAAATTAATTAAGTGTGGTGGGGGCGTTTTTTCATCAAAGCTAAGCAGGGGTGGACGATGCAGCAACACAGACTTATGGCCAGGGGGGCAATCTCAAACAGTCAAACTCCAAGCGACACACGAGTGGTCTTAGCAAAATTCCTTAATATAGGCTGTTCAAGTGCTCATCATATGGAAGACACTATTATCTCTCCCAAATTAAAAAAAAACTTTATTGCTCAAACGACATCATGCGTCCTCTCACCAAAAAAAGAAAAGGGTAAATATCGTTATACTACACATCACAAAAACATTAATGCATTTCTATCTCGATATTCATTCACTATATAATCTCTAGATACAACAATCGAGGGTTTATGCTGGTTCAAAACTGCAAACAGCTTAGCAAAGCCCAGAATTTCAATACAAGGAAAACTGGAGGGCCATGTTCCACGACAGACATTATGATAGGTTTGGTGCCAGTTCAGATGCACTGCTAGCAGAACCAATGGGCTCTTGTAGGGCAAGGTTCAGCGGAAACATCTCACACTGAGCAATATGCGCCATGAGCTGGTTCATCAGGACCAGCGCAGCCATTGATTCCACCATAGGAACAGCTACAGAAGTAACAGAATAAAAAAACATCAGATCATAGGGACCAAAAGTGATGATAAAAGGTAGGAAATTTTTGGTGGAACCATTACCTCGAGGGACAACACACGGGTCATGGCGCCCCCTTGCCAAAAGTTCAACATCCTCATGCTCCCTTGACACAGTATTTTGTTTCTTCTGGAAAAGTGAAATAAATATATCAGACAACTGGCTATAACTTTTCACAAGTAGCAGAAGTGTAGCTGGAATCATGTAAAAGGTAACTATACCATACTGCCATTATTGAATACAAACTAAATTGCAGATGTTGAACCAAGTAAATAAACATTCATGGTAGTTGCAAAAAAATGTGTTTTTGACAAATTAGTGGTTCCAACTGTATTCACAGCATTACGCTGTATTATCATTCAAAAGGCATTATATGGTTATTATGCCACTGCTAACATTTTAAGGAAGCAAAGAAAGGAAGTTTTGAACTGGGATGCCTTACTCCGATAGTTGCTGTTGGCTTAAAAGCCACTTTGAAGTAAATAATTTCACCATTCGATATCCCTCCCTGCATGGACATACAAGTTAAAAATAGTAAGTCAATAATTTCATACCAACTACAACTGTATCACACAAAAATGTAGAAGTAGAGTAATAGGATTTTAGGATAAAAACCTGAACACCGCCTGAGCGATTAGTTCGTGTCCTCACATTTCCAGCCTCATCCATATAGAACTCATCGTTATGCTCACTTCCAGTAAAGTCCGTACCTGGGCACAAGTTATTAGGAATTAGTCAAGCTGTAGAGTAGGCTGCATAGCCCATCAACTATTTGCAAACAATGCCAACTAGTCCTGTGCAAAATGTACATGATTCCTTTTGCATTCAAGGAAACAAAATGATTCCCTTTTCCTGGAACGTAAATGAAAATGATTCCTTACCAGCAAACCCACTGCCAATCTCAAACCCCTTGCTTGCAGGAAGAGAAAGCATAGCTTTTGCCAGTTCAGCTTCAAGTTTGTCAAAAACAGGAGAGCCAAGACCCTATAAATTGTTGTTGCCCCAAACAAACCAGTTATCAGATTCAAATTTAAATTTGAAATGGATGATCAACCTTAAAGGATGCGATGCAATCAAAACTAAAGCAAAATAAAAATAACCATAGAGCTTCAACACTTACACGAGGGACGTTTCTTGCAATGCATGTGACGACCCCACCAATTGAATCTCCTCTAACTCGTACTTTATCAATGGCAGCAATCATCTTCTCTGCATATTCTGGATCAGGACATCTAACGATGTTGCTCTCTATCTGAAATTTACAAGAATAAGAAAAAAATCAGCAAATACACGCGAAGACTATCCCTATAATGCTTTGGAGGGGGAGGTAGTGAAAACAAGACACCTGTTCCAAGGTTACAGTCTCATAATCAACTGCATCTTCTGGAAGTACGACTTGATGCACTTTAGAAACAAATGCCAAAATCTACATGTAGATGATGTTTTTCCATCAGGATTATCCATAAAAGGGAGAGGGAGGGACTGCCTTTTGCAGTGGAAATGAAAATGCAAAAGGAAAGTTTATTACTCTAGGCGAATACTTGTATAAACTGAACTACACATAACAACATGCTTATCATATTTAGGTCAAGCAAGAACCAGGATCCAAGTCCAAGCAATTTGAGGAGCGCTGTTTAGCCAGGATCTAACAATGTTTGCTCTTATAGCTTTTACATATAAAAAAACTCCAAAAAACAAGCTTCCGTTTTTTATAGAGTTGCATTTTTCTATGGAGAAGTAACCAGGCTAACTACAATGGCTGATCACAAGAGTATAATGGTTCAAGAAAAAGGTTGCTAAGTAGGGCCACACCTCCACTCCTGATTTGAGCTTCAGAATTTTCTTTGCAAGAGCTCCTGCAGCCACCCTGCCAATGGTTTCTCTGGCCGATGACCTTCCGCCTCCCTACCATTCATCAAGCACAAATATTTTAATTCAAATATTAAAGTCTGAGAGTCATTACTTACATAAATTCCAGCACAAAATGTGTAAGAACTGGTTGTACAGTGTGATAACTACTTTATATTTATATGTGCATAAAAAAGGTACCTGCACAGCTCTAACACCGTACTTGAAGTCATAGGTTGCATCTGCATGGGATGGTCTATACGCCTTAGCCATTTCACTGTAATCCTGTAGAAGCGAATATGTTTATGAAACAAAATATAGTACTGATACTCTCCCTTCTAAATGTTCAGCCTCCATAGCTTCCATTCATTAAGAAAATATATATCCAGAAAATTAGATACTTACACCGCCTCTTTGATCTGTGTTTGGGACAAAGACGTGAATCGGTGTACCAGTGGTCATCCCTGGAGAGAAAAAACCCACCAGAATTATCATGCTACTGAGAGAAGCTAATGCATTCTTAGTTCCAGAAATTTTGTCCTCTATTCTAGAGGTACCATACCTTCATGTGTCCCAGATAGAATCTTGCATGTATCAGTCTCCTTTCTTGGGGTGGTTATTCTACTTTGACCCGGACGTCTGTATAAATCAACCTTTGGTATCAGTGAACCTTATAGAAATGGTTTAGCAATATATAAAGGAAAATTCATCCTTTGGCATTGGTGAACAACAAAGAAATAATCTAGCAATGTATATAAGGGTATATGCTACTACCAGTCCACCCCAATATGAGTTTGATGATATGTCATTCCACATGTTACTAACAGTTAGTGGTAATGGGAGTGACATATCCCAAAAGATTCCATATGAGAACTGTACTCTGCTAGATTTTAGCAAACATATAATCATATATACTTGTGAAATAGTAACTCCGGTAGTAAACTAGTAATAACTTAAAACTAATGATGTGGAAGAGAGTAAGAGACACACCTTCTATCGAGTTCTACTTGCATGTCTGCCTCAGTGAGAGGAATTCTGGGTGGGCAGCCACTGATAACACAACCAACACCCCCTCCATGGGATTCACCATAGGTTGCAACCTGGAAGTGGTTCCCGAACACATTTCCCGATGCCTTCACCTCTGTTCTCAAAAGCAGACAATGTAAGAGTCAGCTCCTTTTCCATTCTTGTTCTAAGGAAATGCCAATCACGTACTAGCAGATTAAGAAGCCAACCCATTTGCTAGAGTATCATAAAAATCACGGCATGGAAATCAATGATGAAAATTGACAAAGATAGCAAACTTTAGAACCAGTTGTGATACCCACTAGATCTAAAACACTTACTGATTAATTGAATACTGAAAAGCCAACTAACAGCGAACCTTGGAATCCTATATTCATTGGGATAATTTCTAAATGAATCACATCAAAGCATGTCCATGCCGTCATCATAAGGCGGGTTATTCTCTCTCCAGAGACCAGAGGGGAAGATTTTCAGAACCCCTCTTACCACCAACGAACGGACACGCTGCCATCCACCGAGTTGCAATTAAGCAACCCCCAGGTCCCGCCCGGGGTTCCTGGCATTCTCCAGCCCAATTGCACCACAAATCGCGCCATGCTTATCCGCTCAACGCCGTTTATACGAAACAAATTCCAGTAAGTAATATACGAGGTGGAGGGGAGCATCCACGCGGACCTAGGCGAGCGGCGCGGCGGCGGCGGCCGACGGAGAACCGGAGGGACGCGGGGGCGGACTCCGGGAGCGCGCCTATCCTGCGGGGGAGGAACCGCGTGGACGCCCTGGCGGCCACCGGCGGCTGCGACACGGGCGCGGCCATCGGAGAAGGTTTGGTTGGGACGCCGTTTGGTTGCCTGGTTGGTGAGGGAGAAAGAGCGGTGAAGTGGAGGGAAGGTTGCAGGGAGCGGTTTAATACACGGCGCGGAGTCGCCACCTACCCCATCGTCGGGCCTCCGGTCCGATCCACCCGCCCGGGCTGCAGCGCCTACTACAAGCTCCGGTTCCACTCCGCCCGGGTTCGCCACAGCCACACCTGCCAGTGCCAGGGCCCAGGGGCGATTTTGACTTGGATGCTGATCCCACCAGTTAGCGGGATCGGGTCGGATCCGGTGACTACAACCAACCACGGACGCCGCCATGTCTTGCAATTGCAATTGAAAAGACCAGGGATTTTCTCCCCTAAATAAGCCGGCTGCTTCCAGGAGGAGAAGCAGGGTCCACGTCGCTCCAAATTCTCACAGCCGTCGGATCTCCCATCGGATGGCCCCGATCGCTTGGTGCGGATTTCGCCGAAAGCGGCTTCTGCCGCTCCTTCTCTCCTTCCACAGGCTTCCCCTCTGCTTCTCTCGGTGGTATCCAGCTTCTCCTTCGGAGCCGGGCTACCAAGGGCGCGTTTACCACGGCCCGAGGGCCCGATCGCGCCCCTGTAATGTAAGTTGCCATGTTTGTGGTCGATGGCCCGCAAGCGAGCCTGGCTTCCCAGAGCAAAAATCGACCTCTCCGCCTGGCTCTCTGGAAACGACTGAAACCCTCGTTTCTTTGGAGCCGAGCTCGCTCACGACGCACGCAGGCGATTTTGGGCGGCGGCGGGGTGGCTCATGCGCGGCTCTGGCGGGAAGGGGAAACGCCTTTGCTGCTGCCCCCCCTCTCCGCCTCCCGCTCGTCGTCATGGAAGCGAAAATGGCGACGATTTCGCTGGCCTTTATATACGGGTTCCCACTCTCCTCCTTCTTCCACTTTGTGCTTGCTCTTCCACCTCCCTCGTGAGAGACCGGCGGTGAGTTGTGGTGCGTGGCGGCGACCTCCCATGGTTGTTGTGGGTTAGGTCACCGGCCAGGCAGGTTCTTCGCCAAGGCCCTTCCCTTTCTTCTTTGGGACTCAAGTGGCGGCGTGTTCCTCTTCTTCTCCGTCTGTGATTCGCTTCCCTTCTTCCCAATCTGCATCCTCCACTTTCAGATCTGCCTCCTCTCCGTTGTTTGGACCCCGAGCCAAGGTGAAATCGATCCCCAATCTTCTTTTTTGGTGCTTCTTGAAGTTCTTAGGGTTTTTTTGTTCGTTGCTGTTCATGATCTGTTAGGGTTTCATACTTGTTATAACTGCTTCATGCTCCTATTAGGGTTACTTGTACCTTCTTTGTTCTTGATCTGTTGGGATCGTGATCTCGTTAGGGTTGTTGATCTATTTTAGATTAGTATTGTACCTTCTTTGTTCATAACTGCTTGATGCGCTTGTTAGTGTTACTTGTACCTTACTGTTCTTGATGTGTTAGGGATGTTGATCTGTTTCTGATTACTATTGCTCTGAGTTTTTTGTTCCATCATTGGTCGATGATGTTGTCCAAATTTAGTACTGGGAGGCATCACATACAAGATGCAAACTGTGCTTTTGTTGGCATGCATTCATTTCACATTCATGTTGATGCCTAGCGAGGTACATTAAGTCAAATCATGTTACATTTTTACATGCTTGTAGATGGATCTGTCTTTGAGCCATGACATGCTGTGTAGGAAGGCAGCTACCTTGACTGTTGTTATGGTTACCTTTGTATCCACTAGGCTGAAAAGGAAAACCCCTGAACCTGAAACCCCACTGCCTGATCCTATAGCACTGGCCCTGATTAGGGATGAAAATGAACAGCACATACAGAGAACACTGAGAATGATATACAATTCCACTGATTCAGAGTGTATTTCTATGATTATGATGAACATAGTTGCTTTTTTTAAGTTAGTGAGAACTTTTAGAGAGAGAAGTCTTGTCACTGATATGGAGGGGGTGTCAGTAGAAGAGCAGGTTGCCATGTTTTTATATGTTGTTGGGCACAACCAAAGATTTAGGGTTGTCCATCAGTCCTTTAGGAGGTCCATCCAAACTGTCCACAAGCACTTCCATCAGGTGTTGTATGTTGTGGGTGAGCTTAGGAATGAAATAATAAAGCCAGCTAGCACTACCACTCACCCAAAGATTCTTGAAAGCCATACATGGAATTCATATTTTAAGGTAATTGTATACCCTGGGTTCATTAGTTACATTAGACCTGTTGCAATGACTGACCCATGCTTTTTAGGATGTCATTGGCTTTATAGATGGGACTCATTTCCTAGCAACGGTTCCTAGGCGCATGCAACAAGCTTTTAGGGGTAGGAAAAAGAATCCCACCCAAAATGTGATGGTAGCTGTGAATTGTGATATGAAATTCACTTATGTCCTAGCTGGCTAGGAGGGCTCTACCCATGATGCAACTGTTTTGGCAGATGCTGTAGCCAGGGAAGATGGCTTGAGTTTGCCAGAAGGTAATTGCACACCAACACTAATTACATATTGCATGGCCTATTAACACACACTCTCACAGTAGATGTCTTGTGTAGGTAAAATGTTCTTGGTAGATGTTTGGTATGCATGCAAAATGGTTTCCTACCTCCCTACTGGGGGGGTAGGTACCATTTGTCCGAGTATGGCCCAAGGAACAGCCCACCAATGCAAGGGAGCTCTACAACCTTAGGCACTCATCACTTAGAGTGACTGTGGAGAGGGCTATAGGTGCAATCAAGGGCGTGTTTAGGATCTTGGATAATAAACCCTTCCACAAGTATAGGACACAAGTGAAGCTTGTAGTTGCTCGTGCCATTTTGCATAATCGATCCTAGATTTTGGCATTGATGAAGTAGTGCCTGATGATGAAGGTTTCACTACTCACGATCCAACTAACTCCGCCTCAAATTTATCCGGACCAAGACTCTGTTGATATGGTCTGAAATAAGGGATGCCATTTGCAATGCTATGTGGGAAGGAAGGGAACAAACACTAGTTGATGTAATATGTTCTTGAATTTAGTTTCGTACCTGCTATGGAACTCATGTGTGTGTCATGGTGATGTAATAATTTGGTGGACAAAGTGAGGCCAATTTTATGCTTCATTCATTCTGTTTCTTGAATCATTCTCATTTTTCATGATTTGTCGATCATTTATTTATTCATACAATCTATTAATATTATTGTCGATCGTTCTTGACTAATTCTATTGTTGATTTCATTACATGCCGGTCCTAGGATGGATTCAGGTGCATTTGAGGGTGGGTTTGTTGTTGGTACTTCAAAGATGGAGCAGCTCATCAATGGTGGTTCTCGCCTGTGTTGTAGCCGGTGCTTTGATGCTAGTGTTGTTGCCCTATTGTACTGGTGGTGTTGGTCTTTGCTCTAGGTGCAAAGAAACCCTGTTGATGTTGCCGCCCCATAGCTGGGAATGGGGCTGTGAGGGCAATGAGGTGGACCAACACCACCTCTGGCTTTGTGCTAAGGAGGATGGCTGCCCTTGTTAGTGATGGTAGCAGGCCTGACAAGGTTTTCAAAGATAAATATGTGAATTATATGGCCAAAGCCCTCAAGCTGTTCTGTGGGGAGGTTGTTAGCCCAACTCAAGTGTACAACCACTTGAGGAAGTGGAGGCAGAAATGGGCTAGGGTGAGCAAGTTGAAGGACCTTAGTGGTGCTCTTTGGGATGACCAGGCTCATGCTATCATGCTTGAGCAAGAGCACTACCTTGGCCACTGCAAGGTAGCAGTTTGATCTCGTCTTTGCCTTGACTACCTATGTCGACAAAATATGGTCGGCAGTCCACCGAGAGGGGTGCCCGTGGTGGTAGATTATCGGTAAACGGTATGTGTAATCAGGAACCAGATGGTGACACAAGGCGCAGAGACAACGATTTAGACAGGTTCGGGCCGTCTGATCGACGTAATACCCTACGTCATGTGTCTTTGGTGTATTATATTGAGATGTATACGGATTAACCTATCCTCTAGGGGACCCTTGTCTCTCCTTATATACTCCGAAGAGACAAGGTTACAAGTAAAGTATCTAATTGGGTACTATTATAATATCTAGTACAACTTGTAATCTTGATGTGCACGCCTTGATCTTACGGGCCGGGCCACCTCGGATGGTGTGGCCCATGCACCATCTTGTGGTACCCGGGGGTATATTCCCCACAGCTAGTCCTCGAGCGCCTTGTATTCTGATGCGACACGCTATTTTAACCTTCTTCGAACAGTGAGGCTTGAGTTCTTGACATCTCCAACCACCATTGTCACCGGAGAAGTAGGTTGTCCGAAGAATGTATGGCGCTCTTAAGAAGAAAGAAAAATATTTCCATCCTGGGAAGTGTGCCCACTTGTATTTCTGAAAAGAAATGTAAGTGCGTCTTGAAGCGTAGCGTCCTTGATCATCAGAGGCGTAGAGGTCAAAAAACAAACACATTCACCACAAGGTGAAGTGTGCCCACTTAGTCTCCGAGCCTGGTGGTAGGTGACGTAGGCACGTGGTGCCAGGGTCTAAAAAGAATTCCCAGTTAAGTTGAGAACCCAATCGTCGTACAGGCGATACGAGATGTACCGGTAGGTGCATCGTACCGATGTAGTCCCTAAGCTTGCTGGAAGGCGAGGTATGAGCCTTGTAGCGAGATCTAAGTGAGAAAAAATATCCCAACTGTATGCGAGTTGCCAGTCACATGTAGTCGAGACGCAAAGTCCCCGAGCTGTGGTCGGAGAGTGATCGAGGCAGTCCCCGAGCACAGGTCGAGGAGCGAGCGACGAAGTCCCCGAGCCGTGGTCGGAGAGTGATCGAGGCAGTCCCCGAGCACAGGTCGAGGAGCGAGCGACGAAGTCCCTGAGCCGTGGTCGGAGAGTGATCGAGGCAGTCCCCGGGCACAGGTCAAGGAGCGAGCGACGAAGTTCCCGAGCCGTGGTCGGAGTGTGATCGAGGCAGTCCCCGAGCGTAGGTCGAGAAGTGAGCGACGAAGTCCCCAAGTTGTGGTCGGAGAGT